GAAATCTTTCCAACTCCTGCCTGATGSCTTGAAAAACAAATGATTTCTTTTCTGGCAATCTGTATTTGTTTTACTTAATGCTACACAGGGATGTTGTATGACTAGTCAACTGATGACCAGCTGTCACAACTATTCCATGATATATTGTTACGGGATTTCTTGTCTTGTAACTGTGGGATTTACTCAGCAAAATTGACAGGCTATACATTYCAATACGATTGGATAGAGTATRAGCTTGACGTACTAAAGTTTGATTTACTAATAAGATGTTCAGCCAAGGCTGAGAGAGAAAAGGCTATAGCCCGATATAGTTTTTAAGTTAAATTTAAAGATGACATTAAGGCAAAAGATAGCTCTAACAGAGAACTAACTTTCTATCAAGTTATATTATAAAGATACACAAAATTAACGATGCTATAAGGCTCCAACCAATGAAGGGCGTTTTAGGGTACGCATTGAGGTGCAGGGTTACAAGGGAGGAGTCTATCTGGAATTGGTGCAATATTACAGTGCTATAAGACACGTGGGGATATCCTAGATGAAAATGTTGAAACTGAAATAAGGTGCCTTGTACTCTCGTTATACTGTCAAACTTATAGTTCYTATCTGACAGCTTAATGGAATATTTGAAATTAAAAAGAGGGATTGAATGGAAGTGACAACTAAAGAGTCACAAGCTKTAACTAGACTTTAGCTTAGTTAGGGTACACAACGCTAAGCAAGACAGTTTAAAAAAAACTATARAAATAGTAACCTAAATTATGTTCGAGATAAATGTATTGGAATACTAGTAAACGTTAAACAGCTAAACGAAACGATGTCTACGAAACAGATGTCATACTTTATATCAAGATTATGTCGAAATAAGTATAAGTTCTATTGATACAAGAACGCAGGTGGAACTTTATGGTAACTTACTAAAAAACGTCATGAATATTAATTTACTAATTTTGTCTTAAAACAATTTTATAGCCATTTGTAGTATCGTGATTGTCCCGCTCTTAATTTTTCTGTTGTTTTGTTTCAGATGTTTTGTCAGTGTAATAGTTAAAGAGTTCATAATGCAGGGGGGCTCAAGTACGTCRGGTTTACGGCTCACTCGGCGAGGTGGAAGTCCTTTCTTCAACGAATCGTCCATGGCCACTAACAACATCGCCGTCAACAGTATTAATAGTACGTTGAGTGCATCTACATCAGAACTGATCCACAACCGTACGCCATCCTCACCTCCACCGACACGACACGAGAGAGAACGTACGTCACCATTATTACACCATCTATTAGTATCCCACTTCATGAGAGGAGGGGCATATTTCAAATTCCCTTTTCCCAACTTTGTCTCGAACACCAATTTCTATTCCTCCGCATTTATGATGTCATTAGTTAGCCGGGATTTTTGCTTCTGTTCGCAATAGCATGTTATCGGCTGCTGGCGGCAAGGTATGACTGTATTAGCTTCTCATTCACAGGGCGAACTACCGCTCTAAATATGGAATGGCTGAAAAGCTCCGTCAAGCTGCTGGAAAGCGCTCTACGAGAGCGAAATAAACAGATGGACATTCAAAGAAAAGAAATCGAGTTTTTACGGAAAGAATTGCGTCGAAAGGACGAAGTGATACTAGAATACGAGAATATTATTAAAGAACGAGAGGATATGGAAGACATGGAGAAAAAGGAGCTGGAAATATTACATAAAGAAGTCTGGACGCTAAGGAATGACGTCATGACAAAGGTAATGAATTATGGGTAACRCTATAAAGTCATCTAGYTTGYCAGCTTGCTACTTGCAGGCCAGTCATGTGGATMGGGAAATATGTCAAAAGTTGCTTCGCATGAAATAATGAAATGTGCATAATAAGCATCGTAAAAAATGGATTAACCGAAGTCGAGAATGTCTGAGTGAGTAGAAAACACAGTTGATACTGGGTAGAGATAGACGATTACGCACCTGCAACACTTGAATGAGATTAATCATTTAATTTACAAGCATTTATTTTCAGTAGAATCTAACTTTGTCCTTTTTCATTTCTCTGTGTTATTTTTTTCAATTTTCAAATAAATATTAAGTTAGACAAGTCATAGATAGCATTTTTATTGGTTAAGATCATGACGATACGAGAACAAGAGAATACTATCACCGAACTAGAAAACAAGAATGAAAAGCTGATGTCAGTCATGCCTCCCCCTGCCTTCAAACCTCGTGCACGTGCACAGGGCGTGTCAGCTGAACCTGCTAAAAGAATACGGACCTCTCAACCTGAACCATCAATAATCGAAAAAGACGAAAGGTAAGAGAACAAAGTGCAAATAGCCAAAAATCACTTACAAGCAACTCTTCACGTACTGTCAAGATATATTGTACCAAATTCAAAGCATAGTTTTGATTGATAGTTTTAAATCCTTTTTGAACGTTGATATGGCAACGTAAGACAACCTAAAACAAAGATGGCTGAAATCAGTTTTCAAAAGTCGTTTTTCGAGGAGCTTCATAATAATGAGTGTGTATAGATGCACAGTCTATAAGACCACGGTTAAAWTTTTTTTATTGGAAACTCTCTCAGYAAAACAAATTKCAGTTTACTGTTGATAATAAATCTGTGTAAATGTGAAGTTTAATACCTTTTTATATATTTTCAAAAACTTAATAATTAATTAGTTGTTAGGCGAATAGAATGAGCATGCATGGACCTTTACAGCTGTATATCTGTTAAAATACTCCTTATATAAAGGTCCATGACTCTAACAAACGTTTTAGGTTTGATAGTCTTGATACCTCATCACTGACCAATGCAGGATGTCAATCGATTGCCGTAAAACAGCCACTAGCGCTTTTACTTTATGCGTGTTTTCAATGTTGGGTGACAAGAGTGCTTTGTTTTTTTTTTGTTTTTGTTTTGATTCGCGCATGATCAGTTTACCCCATTTATCTCAAAACTTATTTTTACGTTAATTTCTCCAATAGTCGCTACAAGAATTTTAACGGATTTGAGTTTCAAATTAGTGTTGGAGTTTTTGAAGCCGTTTAACACTCGAGGTCGTGTTTTAAACTATATACATAACATTCTGAAGCTCACCAAAAACAAATTCACTTTGCAGCCATTAGTGTGGGATTCCTGTCCCTTTCCTCATATACCTTTACAAAGACCATATAACGTTGATCAATTCGCTAAATGCAAATAAGAACTGTGGAAAGACAATTTAATCCATCTCCTAAAATCGCCGCTTTTTGTCGAACAATATCCGTTTGGTTTGTTATGTTTTTTTCGTTTAAACGACCAGCAATGTTAGGAGCAGAAAAATTAATAGACAGCAAAATACGGTGAATGAAAACTTTGCTGGTTGTTGGGCACTATGGAAATTTATGGTCTTAAGCTCAACACTGATGAATAAAACATCAGTCATGTAAACACAACGAGGATTCGGTTACTTGCCCAATTAACATTAACCCTGGATTAATTGTAAATGTCAATTCTAAGTCTTGAACCTGCCCTAATCCATTTTTTACTTCTTGTCAAGAGAAAATATAATGTAAGCAAGATAATAAATAGTAAAAATGTCTTGCTACGAGTGATTTGACACTGCACAATTACTCATTCATTCATTATTCATTTATCATGTCGACTGTCGCCATCCAATCTTATATACCTTAAACACGGACGCCATCTTGAATACCACTTTTTTTCTAAGAAACACACTAAAATAAAGCTTTCAAAATTTTATATGATWATATTTTATACTTTAAAATGTGGAAATCATGTCAAAGTCAAATATATTTGGTCCATACCTTGGAGCAATATTAACAATCTAAATTTTGGAGCAAGTAAASAAGATTATCGGAGAAAACTGATAATTTTTTCATACGAAACAATAACTTTGCCTTTGGACACATCAAGCACCACTAATGCCGTGATGTACGTCAACCCATGACAGCAATGACATCAATTCTTGAACTTTACAAAACTGCCAGCACCATTCAGCCGTCAGTATGCGTCAAACATCACATCCCACTCGTGAAGATCCGACAGATTGAAGATAAAGAAAAGAAAATTAATATTATGAAAGCTTACCTGACAGTAATCTACTAAGATGAGAAGTCAAAATAAAAGAAACTTTTTCATGTAATCTCGTCTGTATGGTTTTATCAATATTACTTTTATCGTGGAATAATTGCATCACGAAGTGAAAAGTGGTATTGAAAGTTAGAATTATTGTTTGTCGTGGCCATCAATCTGGAAAGATTACAATTCATTGACAGTATATACACTTGTGGTTGCCAAAGGTGATGGTGAAAACACTCCTTTATGAATAAGTCAAACAATAGCCATGGTTTTATTAAAAATTAGTCCTCGATTAGTCCTCCTGATTCCTTCGCAGATGTTTTCGTAGTCTTGCTTAATTTCTCCTTCCAGTTTTAAATTATAAGAAATGAAGGGCACTCAGAGCGGGAAATCAGTCAAATCAAATAGATTTAAGGTGTCGATTTGCCGTTAATCTAACGCAATAGACAAAGAGATCGATCTGGAAATATTGCAAATCTTTTAATGACAGTTTCAGATTTGTTTTCCAATATTTATAGTATTGTTTGATTTAATTTAAAACGTTTTGTAAGAGCATGATGAGGTCAGAGCAATATTAAAGTAATAAAGAAAACTAAGCATAAAATAACACTGAATGATGATCT